GATCAATCTACGGACCGTCAATGGACGCCGTGGTTCCACACTTGGTCAGATTTCCCTGATTTGTCCGTTATGCCTTGCCTGTTGATCTATGGTCATAACCTACGGACCGTGAATGGAATTACGGTCCGTAGATCACCTCCGTGAAGAGAATTCAGTTGTTTCCACACTTCCGCACCTGAATGTCTTTCCTGCAAAACATGATAAAAACACATCAAAACCAATATAAAAAGGCCTTAGACACACACAACTTGTAAGTGAAACGTATTAGAAATACCGTAAACTCGCGGTATATCTGTCATGTCATTTCATGAATCGAGTAAACAAAATGAGGCAAGTGATGATGAGTGCGAGGAATATAAAGAAGAAAATGAGGTACCCGAACATGTTGCTGGGGAGTTTCGACCATTTGAGAATCAACATAAGCCGAATTTAGAAGAAACCGAAACTGTGAATCTTGGAGATGAGGAGTGTGTCAAAGAAGTAAGAATCAGCGTCCATCTGACTGAAGCTCAAAGAAAAGACCTGCTCCGTTTGCTCAGAGAGTACATTGATGTGTTTTCCTGGTCTTACAAAGATATGCCAGGATTGAGTACGAATATGGTGTCCCACAAGTTGCCGATCAATCCAGATTTCAGTCCAGTAAAACAAAAGACTCGGAAGTTCAAGCCTGAGTTGAGTTTGAAGATCAAAGAAGAGATTACAAAATAGATCAAGTCTCAAGTATCGGAAGTGACGCAATATCCGACTTGGTTAGTCAATGTTGTTCCGGTTGCCAAGAAAGATGGAAAAATCAGAATTTGTGTTGACTACAGAGATTTCGACAAAGCTAGCCCAAAAAATAATTTTCCATTACTGAACATCCACATTATCATTGATAACTGTGCTAAGCATGAGATGCAGTCATTTGTGGATTGTTATACGGGTTACCACCAGATCCTGAAAGACGAAGAAGACGCAGAAAAAACAACTTTCATTACGCTTTGGGGTGTATATCATTATCTGGTGATGCCGTTTGGTCTCAAAAATGCCGGTTCTACTTACATGAGGGCTATGACGACCATCTTTCACGATATGATTTACAATGAGATCGAGGTGTATGTAGATGATGTCATAATCAAAGTCCCGCGAGAGTTTGAATCACTTGACTCACTTGAGAAAATTCTTTGATCGCTTGCGTTCGATACAATTTGAAGTTAAATTCTGCCAAAATGTGCTTTTGGAGTGCTAGCTGGCAAGTTGTTGGGATTTATAGTTAGCATGAGGGGCATTGAGTTTGACCCTTCCAAGATCAAGGCGATCCAAGAATTACCTCATCCGAAGACAAAGAAGGAGGTGATGAGTTTTCTAGGAAGGTTGAACTACATCAGCCGGTTCATAGCTCAATCCACCGTGGTGTGTGAGCCCATTTTTAAGTTATTGAAAAAACATGCCTCAACTAAGTGGATCGGAGAATGTCAAACTGCTTTTGATGTCATCAAGAACTATTTGTCCAATCCACCGGTGTTGGTCCCTCCACGAGAAGGGAGTCCATTATTGCTATATTTGTCGGCCTCGAATAACGCATTGGGATGCGTGCTTGGTCAACATGATGAGACTGGGTAGAAGGAGCAAGCCATTTATTACTTGAGCAAAAAGTTTACTCTATATGAGGCTCGTTACACTCTTTTGGAGAGAACATGTTGTGCTTTGACTTGGATCACTCAAAAGTTAAGACATTATTTGTCTACATATACCACATACCTTATTTTCAGGATGGACCCGTTGAAGTACATTTTCCAGAAAGCAATGCCGACTGGGAAGTTGGCTAAATGACAAATGTTTTTTAGTGAATTTGACATTGTGTATGTGACTCAGAAGGCGATAAAAGCACAGGCCTTGGCTGATCATCTTGCGGAGAATCCAGTTGATAAAGAGTATGAATCGCTCAAGACTTATTTTCTCGATGAGGAAGTTTCGTTTATTGGTGAAGATATTTCTGAGGCATACCCTGGTTGGAGAGTATTTTTTAATGGAGCGGCGAATCACCAAGGGAAAGGTATCGGAGCGGTCTTAGTATCAGAATACGGTCAACATTACCCTATGGTGGCTAAACTCCTATTTGATTGCACAAACAACATGGTTGAATATGAAGCTTGCATCCTAGGTCTGAGAATCACCATTGATATGAATGTTCACGAGTTGCTGGTTATTGGAGACTCAAATTTGCTGATTCATCAGGTTCAAGGTGAATGGGCTGTGAATAATCCAAAGATCACACTGTATGTTCAGTATATACATAAGTTGTGCAAAAGATTCCAAAAATCGAGTTCAGACACACTCCCAAAACACAAAATGAGTTAGCCGATGCTCTTGCCACCATCGCATCAATGATTAAACATTCATATACAAGTTATATTGATCCAGTGGATATAGAGGTAAAAGAGCAGCATGTCCATTGTTCACATGTTGAAGCGGAACCAGATGGTTTACCTTGGTATTTTGACATCAAGAAATATTTAGAGACTGGACTTATCCTGAGAATACAACGTTCAACCAGAAGAAGTCGATATGCCGTATGGCCCTCAATTTCTTTGCAAGCGGGGAAATCCATTACAGGAGAAACCCAGATTTAGGTGTTCTCAGATGCGTTGATGCTAATGAAGTTGCAAAACTTCTGGAACAAATACATGTCGGAGTTTGTGGTACTCACATAAATGGACTCACTTTGGCAAGGAAGATCCTTCGAGCCGGTTATTTTTGGATGACTATGGAACATGATTGTTGCAAGTTTGTGCAGAAGTATCACACGTGTCAAGTGCATGATGATTTGATTCGAGTGCCCCCTCACGAACTCAATGCTATGAGTTCACCTTGACCATTTGTAGCTTGGGGCATGGATGTCATTGGTCCAATAGAGCCAGCCGCCTCTAACGGACACAGATTCATTTTGGTCGCCATTGACTACTTCACCAAGTGGGTGGAAGCAACTTCATATAAGTCGGTGACCAAGAAAGTTGTAGCTGATTTTGTTCGCAATAATTTGATATGTAGGTTTGGAGTTCCAGAATCCATCATTACTGATAATGGAGCAAATCTCAACAGCCACTTGATGAGAGAGATATCTGAACAATTCAAGATTACTCACTGAAACTCAACCGCCTATCGTCCCCAAATGAATCGAGCTGTAGAAGCCGCCAACAAGAACATAAAGAAGATTTTGAGGAAAATGATTGACAATCACAGAGGTTGGCATGAGATGTTGCCACACGTTTTATTGGGTTACAGAACAACCATCAGAACGTCAGTTGGAGCTACCCCATATTTGTTAGTATATGGAAGAGAAGCAGTTATACCTGTCGAAGTCGAAATACCTTTACTGAGAATCATCCAAGAAGCTGAATTAAGTTATGATGAATGGGTTCGCAAACTGATTGACCAGCTAACATTGATTGATGAGAAGAGAATGGTTGTCGTTTGTCATGGTCAACTATATCGACAGAGAATGAATCGCGCTTTCCACAAGATAGTAAGAACCAGAATGTTTGAGGTTGGTCAGTTGGTTCTCAAACGAATTTTCCCTTACCAGGATGAATATAAAGGGAAATTTGCACCAAATTGGCAAGGACCCTACATGGTTCGCAAAGTGTTATCTGGAGGCGCCTTAGTCCTGTTGGAGATGGATGGCACCAAATGGCCGAAACCAATCAACTCAGATGTTGTCAAGAGATATTATGTGTGAAGCTTCAGTTTGTACTTCGGTTATTTCCTTGTAATCGCTCTATTTGCTTGTAATTGCTTTGTATAAAATCTATCCATATGTAATGAACTACGTCTGACCTGAATTCTCAAGAATGAGATACGTAGGCAGCCTATGTCGGCCTCGGTCACCCCTTTATCCCTTTTTAAATGTTTCCTTTTGTATTTGAACTGCGTTCGACCTGAATTCTCAAGAATGAGATACGTAGGCGGCCTATGTCGGCCTCGGTCGGTTTCTTTGTAAATTTCTTATTTTTGTTAATCCCAAAGGGGGAACTACGTTTGACCTGGTTTCTGCCTCAACGGGATACGTAGGCGCCACAAGGGCTCGGTCATATCTCCCGTAAGATTTCTATTTTGCCTTTACAATAGAAACTGGGACAGAATTTTTGGGAGGGACTCAAAAATTCTCAAGAAGAAGATCTCTCCAACAAAGTCAAGACTGAAGTTACTTTGAGATTTGTAACTGGGACAGAATTTTTGAGAGGATCTCAAAATTCCGTGATTTGCTCACCGATGGTTAAAGATAAGCCAAGACAGTTAATTGGGACAGAAATTTTGAGGATGACCTCAAAATTTCAACAAGGTTCATCGGAAGTTTAGAGTAACTTTCCAACATATAATCAGATGGACCTCAAGGCATCAACTCCAAAAGGCGTTCATTAAGCTTGACTTGACATGACACTTGACAGTGACTTTTTCCAAATACTACTTTTGAAAATCTATTTTCCTTAAAACTTTTCCTCCACGTTTCAATTATTTTTGCATAAAAATGTTTTGTCTTATCTATCAAGAAGCGGGAGATCGGAGAAATCAATCGGAGATAAAAAAACAAGGAGCAGGCAATCGAAGAGATCGACACAGATCAGTTCACTTTTAAACTAACAATTTTTCTATGGATACAAGTTTATAGGAAATATCTTATGTTTCTTATATCAAATATTTGGGAATATGAATAACATTATTTCATTCAAATTCCCAACAAGGCGAAGTTCGTAATGAACATTGCAACTATGTTCGAAGATGGAACAAACGAAAACCACAAAGAGAGCAATATTATTATCTTTCAGCAACTAAAGATTGCCTTTCTTATCAGATATGATGATATTACTCACCTTGAAGATTATTTATATTGTATTGTTGAATGAGATGATACCGCTACCCGGAGGGTCATTTATATTGTATTGTCAAATGAGATGATACCACTACTCCGAGGGTCATTTTTATTATAGTATCAATTGAGGTGATACCGCCACCCAGAAGATCACCTGTGTTGTCCGGTGAAGCATTATCTTCGTTCGGTACTAGGGATGGCATCATCAAAAAAAGTCATGCATCACGAAGAAGTCATGCATAGCAAGAGGAAATCGTGCACATCAAGAGAAATAAATCATGCATTGCAGATGACTCATGCATAGCAAGAGAAGAGTCATGCATTGCTAGAAGAGGAAATCGTGCACAGCAAGAGAAATAAATCATGCATCGCAGAGGAGTCATGCATAACAAGAGAAGATTTATGCATCGCGGGGAAAAAGATTCATGCATCGCGAGAAAAGAGATTCATGCATTGCAAGGGAAGACTCATGCATTGCAAGATAAGATTCATGCATCGCGGGAAAAAGATTCATGCATCGCGGGAAAGGAATTCATACATCGTAAGAGAAGGATTCATGCATAGCAAGAGAAGGAGTTATGCATCGCAAGAGAAAGATTTACCCATCACAAGAGAATCAACATCAACTGCACCATTTTCCTTTGCAAAGACGACATCAAGAGAACTATCAACATATTACATCAGCCTATTTTATTACTTTGACATCTAAAAAAGAGTACATTGAAGATTATATTGCAAATATGAGACACAAGCTTTATTTGCTTCACGCCAAACCCGATAGAGTTGAACGTCAAATGTTCGAGGAGAACAATTAAGTGTCAACACGGTAAAAGACACTGTCCCCCATTTGAATTGCATTTTTATGCTAATGAGTTTTATCTCAGTCCTTGTCAAGAGCATTCAAAAGGATGAATTCTCTAAAACAAACCACAGGTGCGGACGACATCAAGAAGGATGCAGCACAACGTGGAACTCTTTTTAGCAGCGAATTGGGACATAGTCCAAAGAGGAGTGTCAAACTCTTAGAACGCAAGCAGATGAGTGACTTCCACCACAATCAAACCACACCCCTATTAGAAGGCATGTGGGTTTGTCGGTTTCAGTTTCGCATCCGGAAATTTTGGTCTCTACCAAAGGCAGCTTTCCAATCTGAGTGACAATGCACCAAGAGATTTGGAAATTATGTCTGTGTAAGTTCTTAATTATGGGTGTGAAGCGCGCCACTCTCATGGTTAAGAGGTTGCAAGCCTCATTTTCATACTCGATTTATTTTGTCACTCTTCTTGAACCAAAGGTTATCTGGTATAATAAATTCCCTTTTCAACCGATCGAGTCGAACTACAAGCAGCCTGATTTCCTAGATTTAAGGATATGTAGGCAGAATCGATGTTGAAACTCAACTGTATTCCAACATTCGCTCTTAAATCTTATTCCCGAGCATTCTGGTGCCTTCATAATTCGGTATAGTGATGACTCTTGAATTCTTTCAAAATCGTGCGTTAAATCAAAATTATCGAACTACAAGTGGCCTGAATTCTCATATAGCTTGAGATATGTAGGAAACCCATTTTTTGGGGTTTGGTCATAACTCCTAAAGTCCGTACCAAATCCCTTTTCCAAAAGATGAAGATATGGTCGGTCAAAATTGGATTAGTCAATTTCATTTTCCTCGAATTCCTTGCATCAATCCAAGTAAAATGAGGGATAGTTGTTGACACCCAATTTTGACCCTCCCCAATAGGAATTAATTCACGAGCTTCTTAGTTTCCAAACGATTTAGAATATTTAGTTTTATAAAAATTCAAATACTTTACAAAGTCATCTTAAGTAATTTTGGTCGATTTTCATAATTTATAAATAATATATATTTCATATAATTTTATATATCTATAATTAGTATATTTTATAAATATTTGGAAATCATCTCGAAAAGATTTTATTTTAAATATTTTATTAAAAGTAGTCTAGTTATATAATAGTTTATATTTCTTAAACCATTTAGTTTATAATTAAGTTGATTATTTCATTTCGTTAAGATTAAGAGGCTCACTAATTAATTATTATTAATTCATCTTATTTTCTTTGTGGTCGAATTCACCGAGTATATTCGATTTGGCTAATGTATTAATTCTATTTGGCTATAATCGTAATCCAATATCCATGTTTGCAATTGCATAATTAGTCATCTCATATTTTAACACCTAATTATTGTTTGAGACCAAGCTTTGGGCAATATTTCTTATAATTTTCGGTCAATCCCAACAATCAGCCCTTTTGTTTTAAAGTGACCCTTTCTCACGTGAAGCCTATTTTCTCTTGAGTAAACCCATTCCAGGTAACTCCCAACAGCAATATCCCTAAACCCAGCCCACTCATAGTTCCCTTTTCCCATTCAATATCAGCAATTCCACTCCAATTCCAGCAATGCACCAGCCGATCCACTTCCTTTTCCAACAACATTCCCACCGACCCAATACATTATTTGAGCAGCCCACTAAATTATGACCCAACCCGGCCCATTCTTCTATTCTCAAAAAGAACCTAATAATCCTTTAACAGCAGCTCCCAGAATGTCCACAACGTTCACAGACAGAGCAGCGACTTAGGCGCGTACAGTACTCTGCAATTTTATTTTCTCTTTCCCGTCACTTTCAACTTGCAGCAGGCAGCAGAAACGCGTCCTACTCCTTTCCTCTTCCGAAATGAGGCATGTTTTTTAGAGAAAAGATGTTTCCCTAAATTGGTGAAAGAATTTATGGTGTTTGAATTTTGAATTGGTCCTTGTTGCTATCCGGATTTCAGCCTCTTCCCTCCCAAACTCGAAACCCTAATGATTCCCTTCTATATATACTTGCTTTTGTTCACTGCAATGGGGGATTTTTTGGGGGAGAGAAAAAATTAAGAGAAAGAGTGAGAAAGCAAAGAAATAACCGAAGTTTTTACGCCTTAGGAATTCGAATATAATTTTCTAGTCCCAAGTTCTTGAAGGGTCCTCGTTCGAAGTTAGCTAAAATATTTCGACTCGCCGTTTGAGTTTGAAGTTTTCAGATTCTCCTTTGGTGCAAAATCATTGCTCATTCCAAACTTGTAGCCGTCCCACTTCGATGTACCTCGAAAGGTAATACTCATTTTGCCTCAACATATTTCGCTCTTAATGCGTTACCTGTTTACGTGATAATGTTCGAGAATACTTTGACTCACCGCTTGTCGGAAATCAGTATGTGACTGGTTTGTTTGCTGCTGGATATTGATAAGAGTTGAGTTTCTTCGTCTGCTTTGTCTACTGCTTCATCTGTTGGTTTATATTGGTTTGTATTTTGACCTGGACATGTGCAGAGGTATTGGAATGTTGGGGTTTGATTATTGTTGCTCTTCTTATCTTAGTTTTTCTCTGACACTTCTTTGATCGGTTTCGAAATTCCTACTAATCTTAGGCTGTGTCTATTTGCTGTGAATCTGCGTTATGGCTCCGTGTCTGACATCATATTCTTTGTTCTTTCATCCCGAGTTGAAAGAATGAACCAAGATGTCAATATTTTGAGGTCGTGTGTTGTATTTATTAATGTTTGAATAGATTATCGCTTGAGAGTTGACATTTCTCGTTTTATTTGAGTAAATCTCTAGTCTTGTTAGAGGTGGGTTTAATTTTATTTGTCTTTTCCTCTTGGTTATGTTTCTTGCCTTATTTGTTTAAGTTGAGTAGATGGTTTTAATATTGGTTGGTTTTCCAAGCGGAATTCTCGAGTATGTATCTTTATTGCAAGCATGCCTTTGCTCTATCTAAGTGTAGGTTTGTTCCTAGCTAGATTCGCCTTCGTTTGAATGTTCTTTGTACACCATTTTGTTAAGATTAGAACATATTTTTTTTT